AAACCGCTAGTCTTCTACTTTACGGCGACGCCCTCTTTTTAAATCGAGGGTTTTTTGGTGATGAACACCAATTTTAACAGAATCATTAATTCTTCACAGTGATTTCAAAATTTTACAGAAATGTCATGTAGAGCTGTGTTGGCATAACGGCCTTGAAAGAAAAAAAGAAATTCGCGAGCGATGTATTGAAATAAACGACATCATACGAAAAATGCAAATTTGATTAATTGAAACAGGGATTTTTTTTCATTTTCATTAACAACGCCAGCAGTATTCAACTGTGCACGAGTTCACAGTAGCTCACAGTTGTCTCGATACCAAGATGAAATAAGTTGTGTTAGGACATTGTAATGTAAATATAGTAACTGTAAGTACTGTTAAAAAATATAAGTTATCATAATCATAAAGAGGTATGTAGTACATGCTTCCTAGGCTTTTAATTCAACTCTACTTATTTCAAAGAAGCTTTCTATTGGACACAAAGAATGACTAATAGAGGAATTAAAAACACAACAGCAAATTCTTGTATATCACACTGGCCTTACACTTAACTGAAATGGTCTAAGGTTTAGTAAATGTAAGGGATAGAGTTAGCATAACTTAACAATGAGCTCTCTGTTGTGTATTGCCCTATATAAAGTGAGCTTCGGTGAGTAAGCAAACTGATGTAAATAATAATTTGAGATCTCCCATAAACAAATCTATTACTGACAAAAAAAAATAACAAAAGACTCCAATAGACTGTGATGGAACTGAACAGTAGAAAGCCACGTCTACACAGGCTGCAAGGTAGGTTTTGATCCAAGCCCTGGAAAATAATGAATAGGCTAGTTGCCCAGTGAAGTACATCTTCAAAGGTTCCAAATTCAAGATGTGAATTTAACAACATGTAAAATGTACGGACAGCTATATTTTGTACAGTTTTTAACTGTAATGATTATGTTATGCATTAAGTTACAACTAAGAAGAACTGTTTTTGTTAATTATCAACAATTTATACCTGCATTAGTTGAGTAATCTGTGAATTTAGAAAATTTTGAGTACTTTAGAGGTAAAAGAGATACAAAGAAATATATGAAGTTCATATATTTTGTACTGTGGTATTAGATACATATGCACGATCCTCGCAGTAGATAGCGCTATTTAAGCAATAGTGAAAATCAGACCTGAAAAAAATCAGGCCTGTACAGGATTCGAACCACTGACCTCTGTGATACTGGTGCAATTGGTAGAGCGCTGCACTAGTATCGCAGAGGTCAGTGGTTCGAATCCTGTACAGGCCTGATTTTTTTCAGGTCTGATTTTCGCTATTGCTTAAATAGCGCTATCTACTGCGAGGATCGTGCATATGTATTAGAGGTAAAAGTTTGCTAGATGTAGAATATATTTTCTCAGTCAACACCTTAAGTAGTTCTTTTTCCTACTTTTATCAATGTTTCATAATTATTTCAAAAATCTTTATTAGTTGGCTTTGTACCCGGAGATGTAACGTTTGCAAGGCATATATCATACCAGAGACAAAAAAGCAACCAGTCACATAAGTTAAAGATTTGCTCAGCTCTTAGACATATCTTCAACTATCTTTACTTTGTCCTGGTGTGTTGATTTTTTAATTGGTGTATGCATAGGTTCATACATTGTTTGAAGACTGAGACAAAAGTCATCAATATATCAACATCTGCTTTACACACTTCTACGATAATGATTCTTTCTGAAAATGTTTTAATGTTTTGCAAAAAATTTTCTTCAGGCCATGTTTTTTTCATTTCAGTCAATAATAAACATAACTGAGGTGATCATAAGAAAAGTAATAAATGATGACAGCTGAAAATATACATATACAACCTATGTTTGGTAATAATATTGCCCCTAAAAATTGAAAGAGAGCACGAATCAAAATGCAGTTAACTTGTAAGCTGTGAGAAAGAGCTTACTAAAATGATTTTGTAGTCCAGAGATGCTAAGAATTTTGGAACAGGTTTTACATCATAATCAAATGGGAATCAGAGTCAAACAGTTCACAGAACAATACATGAATACTAGTTTATAAAACTATAATACCCAAAACAATTCCACTGCTCAACATCAAACCTCAACTTCCACGTTAATTTATTAATTTAATTATAAATATGCATACCTCAAGGCCTTTGTAGACTTTGACACTTTTGTTTGTGACCAGCCTTCCAGTCCTTTCTCTGGCATCGATAGCTACAATAGACAACAGCCTTACATGCACTGCACTTCATCAAAGTTACTTCTTCATTTGCCATCTGCCCACAAAAGCTGCAACAATGCGTCTCAGTCACTGCACTTTCCTTCCAGGTAATTTTTTTAAAACTCACTATAGCATTAACTTTCAACATTGTGTAGATCTCACAACAGGCAAACTGACATAAACATGCAAGCCTGGGGCAATTAGCAAAGTCTTTCAAGTTGTCATAGTCCATGATTTTCTCATAGATGTACATATCATGGCTTGAAATCATATCATCAATGAGTTCCCCTGAGCTATCCACAAACAGACCTTCACTTAAAGTAACCTTCCCTTCTGGAGAGCAGCTCAGAAATGAAACTGGGTTGTGTCCCTCTGCTAATAAGTCCACAGCAAAATCTTGAAATTTTGCCAGGTCTTGGCATGCACATGCCTTCTTACTACATGCTTGTGTGGAGTTACCTTCATCACTGACATCTCTAGAAACTTTCTTAATCGAGTACTTCTCATAAACTTTCCTTGTTGCAGCTAGAAGATCAACAAAACTTCCAGAGAGGGCTTCCTTCTTGTCAACCCGTGCCATGGTTTTCCATTTAAAGAGAAAATTTCTAGCAATTGAAGGGGCAACAGCTCTTGCCATCATAACTGAACTTAGTTGTTGCATTGAGGCTTTGTCAACACAGAGGGTTGTGTATTGTGGCAGTTTTTCCACTTCTAAGATATTTTGGGCAATTTGTCTTTTGAATGCTTCTTGAAACAGTTCACCAACATCATTAATGGCTTCCCCTGAAAGTTTTCCATGGCAATGTTTGACCAATAGCTTCACCAAGAGAGAAGTACAGGATGCTGTCCATTCCACAGGATCAAAATTGTCACAATCGACAGAATCTACAAACTGATCCACTGCTTCTTCAATGAGAACTTCTGTCATGGAGGGTGTTGGTTTACTCTTCCAATACAAATTTACAAATGAGTGTTCCAAAAAGATTCCTAGGCCATCCTTCAGATGATACTTAATGCAGGTCTCAAATTCCCCTTTACATTTGATTTTTTTCACAGCAGCAAGAGCAGTTACCAGAGATTGCCTGTTGGTCTTTGTTCCAATTTGACCTCTTCCATCTTTATCAACACATGTCAAGGTCCATGTTCCTGGTAAGGCATTATCATCTCTCTCCATGGTTGCAGAGGCATGGCAAGTTTTGCACTGGTGTCCTTTTGACCACTGCCAGTTGACCTTGTTCACTTGTCCTTCACAACTTCCTATCTGTGCAAACTTGATCTGAGTCAAGCTCAGAAACATGTCCACAACTGGGTTTCTAGCATTAAGCAATCTTTTGGCATTTTGATCTTCTATGATTTTTTTCGCTGATTCGAGCATGGTGACTCCCAACCTCAGATCTCCTTTCCAAGTATACCACAGAGATTGATGCCTACATATTCCAGAAAGGCGCTCAAAGTTAACAGGAAGACTGAACTTCTCCAATGTCTTCTTCTTCCACTGCGACAATTTGCTTCTCTGGTTGCTAGCTTTACTCATGAAGTCAATCATGGTCTCACCACCAAGGAGGAGTTTTTCGTATTCCGGGAATGCCATTGGAGTTGGGGGTAAGGGACAGCCGAGGTACTGTAACTCGGACTTCTCTATCCACCAGGCATCAAATTCCGGGCGGCGAAGGTCTAAGTAGGTAAATGACATCGTCACTTCGCTTCCTCCTTTAGCCATGATAAACTCTTCTTCGCTACTGTACTCGCAAAATCGAGAGACGCGCTCGTAAAATTCAAAGCTGCGTTTGACTTCCCTGTTGATGAATGTTTTACCTCCAAGTAAAGCTTTCGCCTTTTCGTAACAAGGGACAACCAAAAGTTTCGCCGCTTCTTCGATTGGTACCGGTTGGAGAATTGCTTTCCCGGCAGCCATACTGAAATTACTCTCAAGTATGGGCACTAAGTCGCCCTCCCTCAACTTTTCCAGGGTGAACCCGTCCCGTATTTCACCACCGACATAGCACAGAATGTTGACTAGGTCAAAGGTCGGCTTTTTGGCCTTTTGCCCTCTCCTAAAGATTCCATTAACTGAGAAAATGCCCCGTCCATCCGTATTCGTGACGTAAGCTAAGCCATGCTGATACTTAGATAGGATTTTTGGGTTAAATTTGAGACCGTATGCCATATTCTGTAGATAGCGTTCGCACAGGTGCGATATTTACATTTTCTCTGCACACTCCCGCTCAGCGCGGCCGTCACTTTTTTCGCGCCACACTCGCGAATTGGAGGATGGGTAGGGGCTGAACATTTAACTTTTGAAGGGGGGGGGTGGGTGATTTCTGGTCATCAAGAATTTTTTTCTAGCAATCTGCTGTGCAGGAAATTTTTCCGTTCTAAATGCTCTTTTTCTTCTGTTACATTTGGGCTGCATGCAATTTTTTTCTTCCAACAAGCGCTTGCAGGAAATTTTTTGAAAATCACCCACCCCCCCTCAAGAGTTAAATGTTCGGCTCCTTAAATAACATTTTAGTACTTACCGGGGGTGGCATTGAGGACGGGGGTTTCAAAGGGATCCGCGAAGGCAAAACTACTTCTCACCCCTCCCTGTGTTTACTGTCCCATTATGCTCACTTTCACCGAAATTCAGTTTCGTCTCTCGGTGCATTACTTTGATCGTAAATGATCAATTTACAGGATAGAAAAAAGTAAACAAAGAAAAATTTTAAAAGTTTTTCAGAGATTTGCTCTTTACCCAGGGTGCCTTGCAGGTCATTTTATGCTCTGCTTACATAAAGTATTTTTTTTCTCTTAACCGAAAGTCAACATGGCATGCCTGCATTCTTCTCTCCCGGATGGCTATGAACAGGGATCATATCAAACGCCAGAGTTTACGGAGGAAACTTTATTTATGTACGAGCATGGTGTAGCTTGTGTATCCAATGTCGATGGACGGGGAAATGTTTCTATTTACGCCATGATTAAACGAGGCGAGAAGAAGAATTCGAAATTGGTTTTCGATTACGCCAACATCTTGGGCTTTGTCGGCGGCGAGATAAGAGATGGATTCTGCAATACAAACCTCAAGGAAAGCGAGGCTCTTCGTTTTATGCAAACCCACTTAGATCTGTCGAAAGGAAGAACCGTCAGAATGGTTTTTGCTCCCGTGGAAGAGGTGTCGGCCATGTTTGTACTTCCGCTTCGTGTAAAGTCCCTTCAGAATGGAGTAGATTTCACTGACCCTAGTACGGAAACGGCTTTTGAGTACTTCAAACAAGCAGCAAAATTATGTCCTTATCAGAAGCTTGAAGATTTCTTTGATTTCAAGCTTGGAAAAGCTCCCCGAAAGGCAGATCGTTCGAAGTTCAGTGGCCACAGAGCAGAGCTCGAGTCGTGGTGGCTAGAGAGGTCTGAGCTGTCGTACTACGACTGCCCACCTCCGCCCCAACCACCCATCTTGAATCTGACTAAGCTAAATGAGAAGAGGAAAGAGGGAAGATTTGTGTCTGGGTTCATGGAACAGGCTAGCCAGTGGAGAAAGAAGCAAGAGAATTCAGAAGCATGGAAGAAAGTTACAGTACAGAGGTTGACTGATTCTCAGAACTATGATAGGTTCTGCGGAATGGCAATTTTGCAAGCACTATGGTACATCTGGATAGGTGATCCTGAACGTGCTGTGGTCATGGTGGAAGCTTGGCAAGATTTTGAAAGAGATAGAGAAGCAGGGCGGTTTCTTGATGCAAACAACATTGTCTTGGAAGAACTTTTAGATTTAACTCTTGGTAATCTATCAAGTAAAGGGATGTGCATAGGTCAAACCAAAGTTGATTCAAGATTAACACTAAAGAAGATGTGTGAAACTTGCTTGAGTCCAGTGTTTCTGGGGCCGGATAGAAATGGCTTTCATGTCCTAACATGTATTGACAAAGATGCCAATGGTGAATTTGGTTGCAAAAATACTCGCGTGAATATAGCGAAATTGCTCTTTGCTATCCACAAATATGGAATGAACAGCGATTTTGAAACATCTGCTACCCACTCCTTTCATGAAGCTCTCCACACCTTTCTGGAGCATTCATTTTCTGTGCTATATTGGAGAATCAAACCCACAAACCCTATGACTGCAGATGCTGAAAATGAAGCAGTTCCAAAGTTCATGGAATTTCTGACTGTTGATGAAAAACTAGATGTATCAAAGTGGGTGAATTCTTCCACTGATGCATTAAGAGAAGCCTTGGTGAACCACTGTAGCAAGAAGCTTGGCAAAGAAAATGTGGAGAAAATGACTGAATTATTTCGCTCAAAACTGGACAAAATTTTGATAGAGTATAGCAAGGCAGAGAGAGAGAGTGCAAAGCGATGTAAAGAACCCAATTTGAAAGATGTGAGGATTAATCTCCTACGAAAAACTGTTGCTCCCACCATGTCTCAACAATTTAAGCGTAAATGGAGACTTATGTCCATTGCTAAAAGAAAAAGGGTTTTGTTGGTGGCAGACAGTCAGCGTGTTAGAGAAGCATGCAATGAATCCTACAAACAAATGGAGAAGATTGATGAAGAAGAAAGAATTAAAAAGTTGAAAGAAACACCAACAGTAGACCAAGTAGTGAATGGGGATCAGGGAAAAGAGCTTTGTACAATTCCTAGTAGTATTGTAGAAAGATGCGATGGTTTAGAGATAACAGACTGTGAAGAAAACAATCCAGGTATGCCAATGGGTCAGAATGAGTTTTCGGATGATTCAGACAGTGATGATTCACTGGCAGGCATTGATGTTCAATTTCCTGAAAAGTGTAGTGGTGATTCCTGTCCTTGTACTGATAGCTGCAAGTTTTGGCAGCATTTGGTTAGCATTTTGGTCAGTGATAAAAATCCCATTCCCTACTTTAAGTGCATTAATGATGGTGACCTGATTTTGCGAGGAAAACTGTGGGAAGATCAGGAGGGTCATTTTTTTGATGATGTTATCACTCTTAATGAAGAATTTATTGGTGGTGCTGTCCTACCAATGGAAGATGAGGTGTTTTCACAGTGCCCAAGGCTTGCCTTGATTTGCAAAATGGCTTGTCACCGGCTAATTCCAATGCTTTTGATGGGGGTCATTCATCAGTTTGGAGAGTTAGAGAAGAGAGAAAACATCAAGTATGAATGCCAGGCATGTCAATGCTGCGGCCAAGTTGAGGATGAACCGGGTGACTTCAAGAGATGTGGTGGATGCAAGAGTGTTGTCTACTGTGGCAGGAAATGTCAAGCTCAAGATTGGAAAGCTGGACACAAGCAGAAATGTCAAGAGCTGGAGAAGGATGAAGTGTAAAAAAGTAAGGTGTCATTCTGCATTTATCTAATATAAAAATTCATTATGCAAGGTTCTATGTGGTAACTGCTTTCAATGTTATGGTGTTATGGTAAAAAGTAGAAAATTTGATGACTGAAGTTAGAGCCAAAGGTGCAATATGATTATAGTCAACCAGAGAAATGCTTACTGTACATAGTGTTCATTAAAGCTGAGGGACAGTCCAGAAGGGAAAATAACAACTTGGATTTTGGCTCTTTATGAATTTTTACTGACCCCTTCCTCAACAACAACACCTCTTAGCCTAGTAACTCCAAAGATCTTGGTGTTAGATCAAGACAACAGCTTGTGCCTGACAAGTTTTCATATTCTCGTGACCTGTTTGCAGGATAATATATAGGGAGAAGTTACATCTCAATCCCTTCTGAGAGTTTAAGGCTCAGAGAAGCCCTCTTTCTGGAAACCCAAAAATTTGCCTAAGCAATGGTGGTTATTAGGGCTATGGATTCTTTAGCTCTCCTTTCTGATATTGAGATTTTTTTCTCTTTAAAGGTTGCCTTGCTCTTGTTCCCCCCACAAGAGTTTTCAAGGCCAAACAGATTGGTGACTTACAGTAATTAACTGTACATGCTGTAGCAATTGATAACATTAGCAGGACAAAGTGGAGCACAATTCAGGTAAAAAAAAGGGATAAGTAACTTCAAGTTCACCCCAAAATCTGCAAGCACATATATTCTAGATTTCTGTCAGCATGAAGTCCTGAAAGCAATTATTTTTATCAATAATAAAGTGCAAGAAATACACAAATTTATTAATATGTGATGATTCACTAAATTTGTATCATCTGTTTAAAATGCTAGGTTTGTTGTAATGTTAGCACTTTCATTAGGAAAGAGAATGAATTCCTATTTTGAATTAAGATGAATTAAGTGAAGTAGAGGCAGAGAATTCTGTGATGTAGCTTAAAAATTCCGAGCTCTCTGGTGCCTATTCAACATTGCTCGTTGCAATTAGCCTTGTTCTTGAAAATTTCTAGAGGGATAAAATTAGATTGTTTGGTAAATTACATAGAAAACTGTTTAGTCTTCTTACATATTTTTGCACACTTTTCTTCCAACTTCATTGGTATAGTAGCAATGTAAAAATTACTGTGATTACAAAAATTAAGATTATTTTTACTAAGGAGAGGCCAAAGAAGGTTTTATATGTCTCTAGGTGTGGAGAAGATAGAGGTTCAAAAGCCAACATAGAGCTACAAGAATCCTCGTTTTTTTTGCTTGTTCTTTTGAGAATAGTTTTAGCCCTTAATTATATTTATTACACGACTTGGGCAGTCAGAGGGCCAATAACTAAAATCAACCAATCAAAATGCTCTATTGCCTGTCAATATTCTCTCAGTATTGGACCAGGCACTGTCCTGAATGGTCCTGAATGATACCGCACTCGTGTCCCTTTGAACTTCAATCGTATAAATCTCTTATTAACCAAGTTTGCTCGGGACCGTACTGGAAGAATATCGGCCCTCGGTCTTTTTGTACAGACTTCACAGCGCTCGGTCCGTACTGTCACAGGCCAATATTCTCCCAGTACGACCCTCGCGCTTGGTTAATAAGATATATGTATTTCTGCTCTTTCATTACTGAATTTTGTGCATTCCATTCATCCATTCAGTTGTGATTCCTGGTAGTTACTTACAACTCTGAAATGAATACCAGTAACAGGAAAATTAGCAGAATACTCAAAACATCAAATTTTTTTTTGTTCAACCCTTTAAACCTTAACATTAGTATGTATATTCTCCTTACTGTTCTCTAAACATTTCTTAAGGTGCTGACAAGGAGAATTTGTTAGTTGATTTAGAACTTTTGAAGTTTGTAATCATTTGCTTTATTCTCCTGACTTTAATGTGTGATTCAGAGGTGATAGTGTAAGGAGAAATTAGATGATGGTCACTCTTAGGTTTAAAGGTTTGAGGGGTTTAGAGAGATTTGATTGTATAAAGTGATTTTTTGTAGTTGGCGATCAAAAATAAATAAATAAATAATAGCAAATACCTTTATTTACCCTGAGCAGTGTTTATAGCACACTAGTGCTAGTGGGGCCGAGCAAACAACTGAAACAAATAATTCAATCGTATTTGGTTTTAAAGATATTGTAACCTCAGAAAATCCCGGAAACGATTCAAAAAATTTTTAGTTTTTACAACTCATTAAAATTGAACATAACATTATTAAGAATCCCAACTGGCAGGAGGCAAACCAGTTAGCTATTTACAAGCATGACCAAGAATTTGAACTCGGATACAGTGAAACAAATCCAGGTAGTGGTCAGAGTGGGACTCGAACATGGGATCGGTGGATTGCGAGTCTGACATGTTGACGGCTAGGCCACGCTGACAAAAAAATGGTTATCAAACAAAGATTATAGTATGTAGAGTTATAAAGGAAAAATTAGGACATAAATTTGAAAATTTGATTAAGAATCAGTATAGTTAAACTGCATGATTGTAGCAATTTCAGAGGTGCAAAGAGTAACATGCCAGTAACAGCTAGTTGCCAGTTGTTGTCCAAAACAATAACAGTATACTTTTAGTTTACATACTTTGGGTGAGTTGTGTGTGTATGTGTGTGTTTATGGGATGGGTTTGAGGGGAAGCTGTTTATGGGGACGGTCTGCTTATTCAATAACATATTTTTTTAAAAACTGGATCATTGGATAATGCAATTCAAGACTTTTCATTGGCTTAGCCATTATGGTATATGAGCCAATATACCATAAACTACGATATAGTAAGAATATGCCTAAGCTTAAAATTGAAAGGGAGCTAAAAATTTAATAAAATTTAATAATTTAATGTAGCGTTTTTAATAAAACAATTATTCCACTCGCGTTTGTTGGATATGAGATGATTATAGCCAACTCGGCGCTACGCGCCTCGTTGGCTATCTATCATCTCATATCCAACGCGCGCTCGTGGAATAATTGTTAATTATTAAAAACT